GAAAGTAGGAAGGATATGGGTAGGGGGGGGGAGAGAACAGCTACTCCGCTCAGCACCTTCCATGCTGACGCCCAGTCCCTCTCGTACACACGCAGGCGCGGGCGCCACGCTCCTCGCGACCAACCTCTTGCCGACGCCGCTCGCGGCTTTGCGCTCAGACGCCATCGTGCACGAGACGGAGACGGCCGACACGATCATGGGCGAGGCGCAGAAGGACTCGGCCAAGGTCTCCACCGCTGCGGATAGCGCCGAGATTCCCGTCACGTTGAAGAGCATCATGGCCGAGTTCGCGGCGTTCAAGAGCGACACCCAGAAGAAGGAGGAGGAGACGCAGAAGAAGGACGCGGCGTTGGCTGACTTCAAGGAGGAGATGAAGAAGAAGGACGAGATGATCGCCGAGCTACTCGCCGCGCGCAAGAGCAAGACGGACCACAAGCAGGTCCAGATGTCGGCCGGCGGCGAGGTGGTCGAGCTGGTGAGCGCCGAGGACCTCAAGGCGCTGGAGGCGCGCATGCAGGCTGCTGAAGAGCGCGTCGAGGAGTGCGTCGCTCAGAACGCCGCGCAAGACGCCAAGATCGGCGCGCTCCGCGACAAGCCGGCCCCGCCCAACCCGCCGGCGGCCGCGGCTCGCCCGCCGGCAGCGGCGCGGCGGCAGCTCTCCTCCGCGACCGGCGACGAGACCGAGCTCGCCATCACGGGGACGAAAGCGACGCTCTCCTTCAACAGCCGCACGCCCGACCTGACGGCGACCCGCCTGACCGGCGAGGGGGACGGCAAGCTGACGTGCAGCGGCGAGCTGCACGCGACGGACTTTGTCACAGCGGACGGTGGAAGTGTCACCGAGCAGTTCGAGTCGCTTCGGAAGTTTGTGGGCATGATGCCGCCGTCGACTCCGCCGACACCGCCGTCCACGCCGCCGCCGCCCTCGCCGCCCTCGCCGCCCTCGCCGCCGACGCCGCCGACATCGCCGCCTTCGCCGCCGCCATCGGTACCGCCGCCTGCGCCGCCGCCGCCGCCTCCGATAGCGCCTCCTTCATTCCAACAGTTATCACCATCTGGGGTATGTGTCGATGCGGCCGGCCTAGAGCTTACACGTTGTTATGGCCTTGGCTCTGCAAGCTGGATCACAGACTGTCCTCAGCATTGCCTCATGGATAGCAACTGCATCGCCTACATGACTGACTCGAGAACCAGTGGTACATATGCCTTCGGTTGCGTGTTGTATACGACCCGCGCATGCTGGAGCAACACCACTTTCATTGCTGGCAGTGCACAACCGGTAGCTGGAAGTCAATCAAATCCTGTTTGGACCTGTTACAGGAAGGAGCCGCCGCCGTCGCTGCAGCCACCTGCACCACCAGCACCAGCATCGCCGCCCTCCCTCCCGCCTTTTCCGCCGCCGCTCCTGTACGAAAGCTACGGTGGCTGCTATCTCATCACAACGGAGGCCGAGTGTGTTGCTTCCAAAGATTCACGGTCGTCGTATTTAGACCAGGCGTGCACGTGGTGTTGCGGCTTGACTTGCTTGCCTGCTGTCAATTCGCAGCGGTGTCAACCGTACGATTGGCTGATGACGCGAAGCGACTACTCAGGAACAGGAAGGAACGGTGCAGGCTACAACACTTGCCCTCCGCAGTAGTGTGACACGCACGGGTGTCGGTGGTAGCGAGTGAGCCGCGCGCGAGAAATCACGCGGCGCGGCTCGGTGGGGGTCGTGATTTCTCGCACAAGGGTTTCGATCAAGACGCCCGTCGAAAGTGTTACGTGGCTGGGTTCACAGCGATTGTAGGATCTAGGAAAATTGGGAGACCAAACCACGGTCGCGGCGTTCCGACTCGCGCCTCTGGCTCTGCCTCACTGGCATGTGGGGTTGGCACTCCCATCGACCCTCATGACCTCCTGCGGTCTCTGAGATGGACACCAGTGGGTGTGGGACCACAGCCAGGATACACTCGAAGGCTGGGTAAGCAGTAGAGGTCGATACTCGATGCGTCCCACATGGTCCGCCGTCTTCAGTAACTGCATGGACTTTGGGGGTGGGTGCCCCAAGCCCCCAGCCCTAAGTCCTACTCCGCTACCTACAGCTCAGACCAAAAGCCACTCGAGAGCCAGGGAACGATATAAGCGGTCTCTCTTTCGCTACGTGTTCGACGGGTCGTCGAACAACGTTCGACCATGGCACTGGTTCACAGCGCGCGCGGACGGCATTTCTGCGAGTCCCGCTCAGCAGGACTTTTGTAAAGCATGCTTGTGGCAAGTTATAGACGCTAGTATCGACTTCAGAGACACAAACCCGAATTAATAATTAAGGCTCAAAACATGGTCGAACAACCGTCGAACAAACAGGTCGAACAACGAAAAGAGACTAGTGCGACCGCTAGACGGCGGTCTCCGCCCGCCCCAAGGCTGCCCAGTCCCAGTACCACACCGGCCACGTACACCGTAGCGCTGGAGTTGGTCAGTGAGGCACTAGACGGGCTACGGAACCATGCGCGCGCCGGCCGGACAGTCTGCGCGCAGGGGCCGCGCCGCATCGATTTCGCACCTCCGCTCCGCGGCCGGCTGAGGGGCCAGCTCGCCCGGCGACAAGCCCAGACAACGCCCAGCGCCCGGTATCGACGGGGGCCACGCAAAAACCCGCACCTACGACAAGGGTGAGCACGTGAGGGCGTCGGTGTCGGCCGCAGGCGGGCTGCGAGGAGGGCGCGGGTGGGAGCATGGGAGATGCACCACCGCTCGACGAAGACGCGCCCGACGAAGCCCTGCTAGCGGAGGATGGTCGATTATCACCGAATAGCGTCGGGCGTGTGCGAAAAAGAGCGCAAATCGGAGCTCAACACTCGCGCGCGGCTGGGAAAGGGGTGTGGCACCCCTCCGAAGGCGCCTCGCGAGGAGCTGCTGCTGCCGCCAGGGGTGTGATGCGCTAGCCGTCGCCCACCCTAGAAAGAAATGTCACCAAAAAAGAAAGAAAACGGACAACCCAAGGGAGGGATGGGAGGACGGCACGCCGCCACCACACAGGGATTTTAAGGAGAGGGGTGTGGTGCACTAGCCGTCGCCCACCCTTGGGCGTCCGCCTCTTCCTATCTCTCTTCGCAGTCTCTCTCCGATTCTCGCTGCGACCTTCGTGCCACCTCGTGGTCGCCCCCTTCTCGTCGTGCTCTCCCTTGTCGCTTCTTCCTCTGTCGTGTCGCTCTCCTCTGTCTCGTTCTGCGACGCCGCCGCCGCCTGCCGGTCCCTTGTTCTCGCGGCTTCTTTCGCCTTTCGGCGCAGCTCCGCCCTCCTCGCTGCATATCCTGGCCCCTCGAGTTTATCGAGCTCTCCTCGCGCAAGGACGAGTCTTCTGACGCCCACTGCGATCATTTGCCACCCAGTCATATAGAAATGTCACCATAAATAAATAAATACAACGGACATCCCAAGCTAGGGCTGGGTCGAGGACAGACACGTCCCCACCTTTGCAGGATTTTGCAAAAGCGAGGGGGGAGGGCGCATCGCCGCGCGGAGAGGGCTGGGCACAGGGCACAGGGGATCTCTCTCGCATAGGATATGCACTCGGCGGCACGAGGGCAAGGCTGGGCGTCCTATGTTTGTGCTCCCCCCCGGACCCCTCGCTCTCGGGCACTAACCATCTGACCACTCATCGACGGGGCTTGGCGAGCGGCCGCGCTGCGGGGCAGGGCTGGTGAGAATGGGCTCTGGCCACTCGCCCGTGCGGTTGTAACCCCGCATCTGTCGGACAGAGGCCTCGACCGCCCCTCGCGGCAAGCTCTCGAGCATCTCGAGCAGCTAGAAATGTCACCACGCCACAATCGATTTCGGCGACGAATTCTTGTCGCTCGCGCTCGAGCTACAGCGGCTTGCGAACGTGATCAAACTCTGCTTCAAGGACTTCCCTACGCACTTCACGAGGTTCTTCAGGGACTGCGAGAACGACGGGATTGCCATCCTCCAGAAGCTTCCAACCGTCCAGTACACCGAGGAAGAGAGCGCGATCGTGATCAACGCCGCGTCGAACTTTATTCTCACTGGCGCGCCTCCGCTTCTCAACAATGACACCTTCGACGACTGGACAAGGGACTTCGAGAAGACGCAGCGGCGCGTCCCACCTGCTCTGCGCGTCATCGCCTCCGACACCGCCAAGATACAGAGGATCGACCATCTCTTCGTCACTCAACCCGACATCTCCAACGATTGGCGGACCCACATCAGGGTCGAGAGGTACATCAAGAAGGAGAGTGGCGAGGCCGTATCCTACGAGTGGTACGTCGAGCAGGCAGAGTCTTTCCTCCGCCGTCGAGCCGCCCAAGACGCGCTGCGTGAAACCTGTCTACGACCTTCGGCACATCGGGATGGTTCGTCAAGTGGCAGGGAGCTACGATCAATTGGGGGTCGAAAAAGCAGCCCTGCGTCGCCCTCTCGTCGTGTGAGGCTGAGATCATCTCGCTGTCCGAGGCGACGAAGGACATGGTCTACTTTCGCCGTCTGGTCTCCGACCTCGACCCCGGCGCCGTCGACGGTCCCTCGGAGGTCAGCACCGACAACAAGGGCGCGCGCGACGTCGCCTACAATCCCGAACACCACGGTCGCATGAAGCACGTCGAGCGGCGTCACTTCTTCGTGCGCGACATGGTGGAGAAGTTCGAGATTCGCGTCCCTTGGATCGAGGGCGAAGGCAATGTGAGCGACTTCCTTACGAAGCCGCTCGCGAGCTCGACGCGGTTCTTCAAACTTCGCGACGAGATTATGAATGTGCGCGGCCAGACCGCTCACGTCGTGTGCGGTGCCCGCTTTGCGTGAGCGATCCCGCGCCCGCGAGGTCCAATCTCGCATTGTGTCATTCACGCTTCGGGCAGCCGGGTTGCCGCTTTCGACCTCCCCTGGTCTCAATCGGGGGGGGGCGTCGCTGCCCGGGGATTGATCTCCCACTCTTGTGTGTCATTACCCATTCACGCTCTCTCGTGTGTCATTACCCGATCCCAATTACTGGGGATTGGGTTCGTATATTCATTCAACGACGAAGTCGAACAAAGGGTGTGCGATCGCTCCTGCGTGCACTGCCCGGACTCGTCGCCTGGGACGGCGGCTGTGGACCCGCCTCCCAACCACGCCACGCCCTTACAATCATACGCATAAAAAACCCGGACTCAAGCAAAAACCTGACTTTCTCTCTCTCGGCCTGTAAGAAAGGACAGGTCGGCTCTCTCCGTTCCCGCTTTCCGCTCCCTCTCCACGCCCTCTCCTCGCGCTCCATCGTTCTCGGCCAGAATTGAATCATCCCCATTCGAGCGATGTGCGGCTTCTTCTCGCCTCCTCCGCCTCCTCCGCCGGCGGCGGCCGCGCTGCTGACGCAGGTCATCGAGGCAGCGCCGCCTCTCTTCAGCTTCCAGTTTGGCATGGCGATGCTCGTGCTGGCGCTTTCGCTTACGCTGATGCCGCTCATCCGGGAGCGGCTGCGGGGCGGCGGAGACGCCGCCGCCACGGCGCGGCCGGCGGCCGAAGGCGACGAGGGCGAGGGCGACAGCGACGGCGAGGGCGACGACGAGGGTGACGACGAGCACCTCGGGTGGGTGCTGGCGGAGAGGCTGCGGAACGCGCGCTTCGACCCTCGCGAGATGGTGGCGTCGGTCATCTCTCAGCTCGGCGAGTCCGCCTTCCTCGTCGTCTCCTCCTTCCTCGCCGTCGCCGCAGTCGGCCTTCAGACAGCCTCGCGGTGGGGCAGGCAGACGATGACTGGCAGGTCCGTGGCGTGGAGCGCAAACGAGAAGGTCAAGGTGCTCGTCGCGTCGGCAAAGGCGCAGCCCAACACCGAGAACGAGAGCGAGATCGAGCGAGATCGAGCGAGCTTGCTCCGGGCCGTCGTGTGAGGGGAGTGAGGAGGAGCCGAGGGTCGGCTCCCTTGCTCTCCCTTGCTCCTAGATAGCTCCGCCCTCCCGACTCCGCCCCTCAGGCGCGCGCAGAGGAGGCGTCCCTCCGCTCGATGGCGCTGCGCGCCTTCCGCGACGCCGACATCTCCGGCGACGGCAGATGCGGGCCGCGCTCTTTCCTCGGCACACGTCCACGACACGTCCGGGACGCGTCCTCATAGGCGACGGGGAGGTGGGCCGGTGCCGGGGTCTCGTGGACGTGTCATGGACGTGTCGTGGACGCGTAGGCGACGGGGAGGTGGACCATGCCGAGGTCTACTGCGTGGTGCTCAAGCTGTATCTGCAGCTGCGCGCGCTGGCGGTGGTGACGCCGCCTTCGCGCGATCACGTTCTCAAGCTCGCCAAGCGCTTCGACCTCGACGGCGCGAGACCTCCTCATATCTCCCCATATCTCCCCATGTCTCCCCATATCTCCGGCCTCGACGGCGCGAGACCTCCTCATATCTCCCCATATCTCCCCATGTCTCCCCATATCTCCGGCCTCGACGGCGCGAGACCTCCTCATATCTCCCCATATCTCCCCATGTCTCCCCATATCTCCGACCTCGACGGCGCGAGACCTCCTCATATCTCCCCATATCTCCCCATGTCTCCCCATATCTCCGACCTCGACGGCGCGAGACCTCCGGAGAGGAGCTGCCCGAGAGGAGCTGCCCAGCCCAGACCCGCCCCCGCAGGCTCGGGCCACCTCGGAGAGGAGGAGTTCGTGTTGTTCGTCTCGGTCCTCTTTGAGAACGTCGCCGCCCGCGTCGCCGCGCAGGCCCCCGCAGGACGGGGGAGGGGTGGGGCAGGGCGGGGAGAGGTCGGGGGAGAGAGAGCAGTCTGAAACATCGGGGGGTAAGGCGGGGGTTGGAAGGGGAGTCGGGGGACGCCGTTGAGCCGAGCGGTGGTCGCCCGTGCTCGGCTGCACTTCGGCCGCACCTCGGCTGCAGCTCGGCCGCACCTCCCTCCCCCGCAGGTCTCGCTCGCCGGCCTCCTCTCTCCGTATCTCGCGGCGCGCGCCATCATGCGGGCGGTCGACTCGCCGTCGGTGATGGAGGGGGCGCGATCGCTGACGCCAGGCGTCGCGGCGCCATACTTGAGCCGAGATATGGGGAGATATGGGGAGATATGGGGAGATATGACGCCAGGCGTGGCGGCGCGATACTTGAGCCGCCCGAGATTACGCGAGATCACGCGAGATTACCCGAGATTAGGCGTGGCGGCGCCATACTTAAGCCGAGCCGTGGTCGAGACGGCGACCACCGCCGCGCTGGTCGCGATCCTTGTCCCCTTCACGCTCGGGATCGTCGACGAGGTCTGCGCCGCCAGACACACACACACACACACACACACACACACACACACACACACACACACACACACACACACACACACACACACACACACACACTGCACCCCCCCCCGAGAGAGAGAGAGGGGGGGGGGGGGGGGAGAGAGAGAGAGAGAGAGGGGAGCACCCCCCCTGAGACGACACACTCTCACGCCGCTGGCCCTTAGAGTCACGCTGCATGCCGCCGCTTGCGCCCTCCCGCCCGCACCCTGCGGACCACCGCCGCCAACCACCGCCGCCGCCGGCCCAGGTCTTTGACCGCCGCGCCGCCGCCAAGATTGGGCGCGAGCTGCGGCGCAAGAGGCGCAAGGAGGAGGCAGCCGCCGCGAAGGCGCGTGGCGAGGCGGCGCCGTCCGCCCCGCCGCCCGCCGCGTGGCCGTGGGAGCTGTGGGGCGGCGGCGGGTGGGGCAGCGGCGGGTGGAGTCTGCGGCTGCCGTGGTGCATCGGCGAGCGGAGGTCCTCCTCGCCCAGCAGCCCAACAACCTCGCCACTCGCGCCGGCGGCACAGGGCAGCCTCCCGGCGCTGAAGCAGTAGCGCCTGTGCGAGCTGCATGAGCTCGCATGCGCCGCGCTTGGGGGTTGGCTCGGTGCCTGCTGCCTGGCTCGCTGCGCCCCGGGCCCAGGGAGACCGTCAGCGTCACATAGCAGTCGTCAGCGGGGGCGGATACCGGATTCCGCGCTCCTCCCCGTCCTCGCGGTCGCGCGGCGCCCGTCTCGGATTTTCGCCAAAGCCGAAAGCGCAAGGCAAAGGCCAAAAAGCAATTATCGTCACAATCGTTATGGCCCTGGACTCAGATGAGAGAGATGTACCACGACAATAGCCCACACAATGTAGTAAGAGAGCCACACGCCACACGGCATCAAATAGAGACTCGAGTACACTCAGAAGTCAGATCTCAGTCAGGGCCTCGCGGTGCGCCGCTTTGACTGTGTCAAACAGGGTGCCCGCTCCTGTCCCCTTGTGCGGGGCAGCGGGCAAGCCCTGCCCAAGCATCGAGAATCACACGCGAACCTTTTCGGACCGGATGGGGAGGGAGGGAGAGAGAGACCAGCAGGGCGCCCGAAGAGTCCGAGGCGCGTGGCGGGGCGAGCGCACTGTCGCGGAGTCTCGGAGTAGCGAGTACGCGGGCGACGATGCGCCTCTCCCACCCTCACACGGATGCCTCCTCGGCCAGCGCCAACCGCACAATGTCGGACGAGGTGATGATGCCCACGAGCCGGCCGACCGGGTTGACCACGCACAGCCGGTTGTGCCGCGCCTGTGCAGTGGGTCTGCCGTGAGGCGGCTGCCAGAGGCGCAAAGGCGGACCCTCGGGCATCCCGCGCCGGAGAGCCATGCAGTCGCGTCTACAGTCCGGCTACACCCCGCGCTCTCCCTCTCTCCCTCTCGCCTTGAGCATGCGCGCCGCCGCCTCCTGCATCGTCGCCGTCTCCTCGATGCAGGCCGGCGAGCGAGACATTGCAGACGCGACCGTCTCCGCCTGCAGGAAGGCTCCGAGGCGGCTCAGGGAAGGCTCATGGAGACAGGTCAACGAGAGGCCCGCTGCGCCTCAATCTTGCGCAGCCGCACCGTGTTCTCCGCGTACCGCACGCTCGCCGCGCCCTCGCCACCGAGCTTGAGCGAGGCGCGGCCGGCGACCTCGCAACAGCAGAGGAGGCGCGGGTCAGGACTGCGGCGCTGGCTCTGGTGTGGCGGGAGGGAAGAAGGGAATGGAGCAAGACACCAACTCGTTCTCTCTCTCTCGCGCGCGTAGCTCGCGGTGCATCTCTCTGCCGAGTCTCTCTGCCGGCACCTTGTACAGCAGGTCCGTCTGGGAGAGGATACCGACGACTTTGCCGTCGTCCAGGACGGGCGCGCCGGTGATCCCGGAGGCGTCGAGGATGCGCGCCGCCGACATCAGGTCGTCCTCGGGCTTGAGGAATACGACGTCAGCCTTCATGAAGCGAGACACGATCTCATCGTGGCCCGGCCAGTTCTGCTCCTTCCGGCCCATGAAGCCGAGCCAAGAGGGCCGCTCGGCGAGCAAGCAGGGCTGCGGCGAGCGCGCGGCACGACCGCCCAGCGCAGGCCTCGAGGCGGGGAGCGCCGCGACCAGAGCGGCGGTCGTCCACAGCAACATACACATGAACATGCCGCTCGCTCAATGATTGTAGCGACGACCAGGCCGGATTTCTTTTTCCGAGTCAAGAACACGGCTCCTCCGTCTCTTTGTATCTTCAACACCGCTGCGTTTATCAGTCCCTCGACGCTGCAGCGACGTTGTTAGAAGAAACACGAAGGCCGTGACGCTGCTGGTTGTAGTCGACGCCATTCGGTGCGATGCTCGCCGTTCTCCCTGCACTCGCAGGCCTCGCTGTCACTGCGCCCACCTCCTCGCGCGGCGTGGCGCACCGCGTGCTGCTGCGCTGTGCGCGCGATGGCGCGTTTGCCGACCGGGCGCTCTCCTCCGCCATCGAGGGCGCGGGCGGCCTGAGCGGTGGCGACCGGGCGCTTGCCACCGAGCTGGTGTACGGTGTGCTTCGTCACACCCGCTCGCTGGACCACAGCCTGGCCCAGCTTGCGACGCTGAACCGGACGGCGCTCCCCACCGCCGTGGCGCTGCGGATCGGTGCATATGAGCTCCTCCACCTCTCGACGCCCGACCACGCAGCAGTCGACGAGGCGGTGTCGCTGATCGGCGCAAAGGCGCAGCGCCGCTTCGTCAACGGCGTGCTCCGCAACCTCGCGCGCGGCCGAGGCCGCCTCGTCTCCCCAGACGCGGACCCTCGCCTCGGAGCCCGCGCGGCGCTCGCGGTGAGTACAGTGAAGAGAACTCTGGGTGCGCCGCTGCGTGACGAAGCCGAGACCCATCCCGATCCATTAGGTGCGCACGTCTACGCCCGAGTGGCTGCTCGACGACGTGGCGCGCGCTCTCCGCGGCGACGAGGCGGCGGCGCTGGAGGAGGAGGGCGGAGAGGCGGCAGCGGCGGAGGCGGAGGTCGTGGCTTGGGCCGAGGCGAGCCAGCGGGCGCCGCGGCTGGCGCTGCGCGTCAACGAGGCGCGCTGCACTGCCGACGCCGCGCTGTCCGCGCTGGTCGGCGCCGGAGTGGACGCTACGCTGCACCCGGCCGCGCCGGGCTGCCTGCTCGTGCGTGGCGGCGGGGCGCCGCACCGGCTGCCCGGCTTTGCGGAGGGGCACTGGACAGTTCAGGACGCGGCGGCGGCGCTGATCGGCGCGCTCGCGGCGCCGGCGGCGGGCGGCGCCGTCGTGCTCGAGCTCTGCGCCGCGCCCGGCGGCAAGACGACCCACCTCGCGTCTCTGCTCGGCGAAGGCGGCGTCGTGGTCGCCGTCGAGCTGCACAGCCGCAAGCTGCGCCTGATCGAGGAGTCGAGCGCACGCCTCGGCGTCGCCGCCGCCGTCCGCCCCGTCGCCGCCGACGCGACGGACGTGCCAGCCCTCCGCGCGGCCCTCGCAGCCCACGCCGGCGGCGCGCAAGCCGCCGATTGCGTGCTGGTCGACGCGCCGTGCTCTGGGATGGGGACGCTGCGCCGTAACCCGGAGCACCGCGCGAAGGGGCGCGCGCAGCTCGCCGCGCTGCCCGCGCTGCAGGGGCGGCTCCTCGACGCGGCGTCCGCGTGCGTGCGCGTCGGCGGCGTGGTGACGTATTCGGTGTGCACGCCGCGCGCCGAGGAGGGCGACGACGTGCTCGCCGCCTTTTTGCAGCGGCACGCGGGCCGATTCGAGCTGGAGCGGATCGAGGCGGCCGCGCTGCGACCCTTCGCCGCGCCGAGGGAGCGCTGGGGCGGCGACGTGCTCCAGACGTGGACGCACCGGCACGAGCTCGACTCGCACTACGCGGCGCGGATGCGGCGCGTCGCGTAGTTTTAAGGCGAATCGGGTGGGGAAGGTATTGAACTGCCTTAAAACGGAAGGGCACGTCCTGTTCACGCGATGGCCAGCCGTGGTGTGAGCCCGAAGGGTCGGCGAGAGTCGGCAGGCCAGCAGAGCCCTCGGTCAATATTGGCTCTGACGCCGTAGAGTTTGTTGTAGAGATTTCACGTTGAAGAGCGCCTCTACATCGCTCTACAACGCAGGCGTTCCAAATTTGGGGGGGGGAACCAAATTTTGGGGGCGCCGGGATGTACCCGGGTACAACGAAGTCCGGGATATAACGTACCAATGACTACTTCTGACACGATGGTGTCAAACTTTGGGCTTCGATAGCCTTATTGCGTAAAGCCTCCCACCTATCTTGGACCGGCTTTTTGGGCATTGGTTGCGCAACCCGACCGCAGCGAGGGAAAAAAAGAAAAGTGCCGGCCCAGTGGCGCCCCGCACAAGAACCTTTTTTATGATTATTATATACTGGAGACGTATCAACAGGGCGAATATATCGCAATATAAGCCAATATATCCCAATATTCTCCAATATATCCGGACCGTATATTGCGATATATTGGCTTATATTCCACATTTCAGCCGATGAACTCTGACCGTCAGTTCGTGATTGAATTGTAACAATGCTTGTAATCACGATCGATGCGAGGACGCAAGTCCACCAACCTCGGCCATTCCAACGGCCAGATCGCTCGCTTAAGGCTGATTGGCTAGACGAGCGGTCTACCTCCAACGGGGCGGTCCGGGAACGCGTGGAACCTGCCCGCCTCGGTGGGAGGTGGTTTGGCGCCGACGGGCCGCCCTCTCCACCACCCTCGCCCAGGGATCTACAATGCTGTCTTAAGGTCCGACAGGTTCGGCACCGGGCACCGCCTCGGTATACAAAATGCGCCTGCGGGCGGACCCTTACAGATCACAGATCACATTTCAGCTGTGAAGCTTATTGTCAGTATTCTCTCAAGTGTTTTCGTCATTTTCGTCATTTTCCTCAATCGCTGTGAACCCAGCCACGTACGCGTGTGCGAAAAACGCGAAACGGTGGGTGGTGGCTGGTGGCTCCGGCCACGGCGGCGGTTACAACTTACTTCAAGTGTACAGTGTTCATCTGCTTACAACACACCCACCGGCGCTCTCTCCAAAACTCTCGAGCCCGCTCTCTCCGGACTCCGCGCGCCGCTCGGCGCTCGCGGGCGGGGCCCGGGGCGCCCGCGGCCGCGCGCCGCTCCGCCGGCGGCCGGCGCGATGTCGCCCCGCCGCCACGCAAAGCGGATATGTGTCACGTGCCGAGGAGTAGCGAGCGAGCCCTTTTCCCTGAGGACGGCTTCAGGTAGCACCGGAACGGGGAGCCGTGATGAACGGTGTACGAGACGTCTGAGTAGTGCAGCTCACAAGGTCTGCCTGATGAGACGCCCGCGACGTTCCACTCGTACGCGCGGCAAGTCGGATCCGCCTCGCAGAGAGCCTGGCACCGCGCCTGATCGACGCCGGCAAACGCCTCGAAGGCGCCAAGCGAGCACGCGTCCTGGATCCCCTTGCAGTCGTGGGCGTTGCGCGCGTTGCAGCCCGGATAGCAGCCAAAGCACTGTGTCGGGTGCGAGGCCGGCATGTCACACGTGGCGCTGCGGCAGGCGCCCTGCACACCCCCAGGCGGCGCCCATTCGACGGGCGACGCGGAGGGCAGCAGCGGCTGCGGCGGCAAGGGAGACGTGGAGGGCATCAGGCTCCAGAGCATCGACCGGAACTGGTCCGAGTCCTTGACGTGGCATGTGACGCCTCGCTCACCCCGAAATGTCTTGGCGATCACTTCCCTGTGCAGCTCGCAGAGGCTGAA